GGAAAGGAAGATGAAATTGAGTTCATAATTGCTAACACCAGAATCGTTAAAGATTCAGCTATCATAAAAGAAAATTGATATATGAAGTAATTAGTGGCGGACCTATATGCTGGGTGCCCTGAAGATTGAACAGATATAGTGGCCACATCGCAACCAGCAACAATAAATTCGAGGATCTACTTGCCAAAAAATAGGTCATGAATAGATTCTGGCAATGGCTCAATGAACCCATAGAACTCGGGGTTCACAAACCGCATGACAAGGAGTGACGGAACTAATTTCAACTCGGAATTAATTTCAACTTGATTTAAATCAAAGTTGTCAATTTCCGTGAATTCCTAAATAAAATACAATGAGTTGGTGTTAATTTTTTAATTTGAAATTAAAAATGCTTAGTAGATAATACAGAATTCATCTTTTCTGCAACTTTCATTCTTTTTTGTTGCAAATGAATAAAGAATACTTTTTTATCGACTTTTATTTATTTAAACCTGATCCAATAAAAATGCAATATTCTTTGTAGAAAGAACAGTAGATTGCTTAGCTGTTTATTTTTTGTTTTGTTTTGTTTTTTTGTAAAATATTCTCATTCAAAAGAAGTCGTTATTGATCAAAATTTAAGAAAATCATTAAATTAAATTTTAATTTTGTTTGAATAGTTCCGAGCTGAAATTAGTTCCGAGTTGAAATTAATACTGCACCTCAAGACGAGTTTGGATTTTGACCAATCATAGAAGAATTTTGAGACCATATGATATGGGTATCAGAGCATATTCTATGGCCAATATTAGCCGCTTCAACCCATTGGCTTATGATTCTATCACTAAAATGAACTTATTTTAATAACACTTTTAAAAAATACATTGACTTTATTGAAAAATTCACTAATTAAAAGAAGTTGCTTCAGATGCTCTTCTTGGATTTGGGCGTCCTGAAGTGTAAGCTTCATTAGTTTCGTAATAGATGTGCCACTGGAATTGATCATTTGGCTAAGATAGAAAGAAAACATTAATATGGCAACAAAGATGAGGACAAGAGTCCGAATAATGTAAATAGTGTAACTAAATACTATTGAGAATAATTTGTATACATTTGATAGATGCTAATGTTTTCATTATCTCTTTTTTATAAAGTAGCTATTCTAAGTTTTTACACGTTTTTTACACACATGTTCAGTCTTTTTCAAAATGTGACATACAGAAAAGAGCCAAATAAAGATGGCATAGTAACAGACCTTCTAAAAGATGGCATAGTAACAGACCTTCTAAAAGATATAGAAGAATCGCACATTTTTGATCAAATACATAAAAAATGAAAAATATCTAAAAACTTGGAATAGCAATTCTATTTTATAAAAAAGAGATAATGAAGATATTGGCATCTATCAAATGTATACAAATTATTCTCAATAGTACTTAGTTACACTATTTACATTATTCGAACTATTTTCCTCATCTTGTCATATTTATCACAAGGTTTCGGCCGCGTGGTTGAACTGAACCCTTTATTTCGCTCACTGGGACAGACTGTTCTAGTTCCACGTGCCATTCTAATGAATGCCACTTATCAATTATCTCCTGTTAATTCCCCTCACCAAGTTCTCCACCGCCTTAACCAGGTATTGAACTCACACACTTGGGGTCCCGTCACTGGATCTAACCAACGTCTTTATCAACTGTCATGTGTCCTTGAGGACATCTGTGTACGAATTTCTGGGTATTATAAACCTAATGTCTTCAGCAACCATTTTTTTAGCAGTGCTCATATTGCTATTTTTTGCTGTTATCAAATCATGTTTTTAGCAGAGCTCATATTGCAACTTTTATTATTATTATTATCACTTTTCTCTGACACTCCTTATTACTGGTTCCCATACTGTATTCATTTCTATGCTTGGTCGACTTAGGAAATTTTTTTGGCTTAGTAAGTTTACGAATTTTCCAATGATGTTCTTTGTCTATGATTTCAGCTTGATCCCACAGAAATCGGTGATTTCCCTTTTCTCGCCATATGTGGCCAGCCACGCCTGATTTTTCCGCTTTCCCTCATGTTAAAGCTTTCTAGTGTTCTTGAAGCCTTACCTTAAGGGGGCGGCCTTTCTCCCCTTTATATTTCTTTCCGCAGCTGCACGGGATAGCGTACACACAGTTTTTAGTCATGTTCTCCTCTATTGGGGGGTCTTACTCGGGAGAGATATCTGCGAAGTGTCATCAAGCTTTTGAAGATTGTCCTGATGTTATATCGACCGCAGATTCTTTGTATTTTCTCTGATAACCCCTTCACATAAAGCAGGCAGACTGGTTTCTGGGTGTTGTTGTCCTTCTCTTGTACCCGCCTATCCCAGTTTTTTGGGGCTGCTGCCATGTACCCAGGGTAGTTGTTACATTATACTGACCAATTCTTTATCTAATGCCTCTGGGTCGCCACATGACTTTTGCTCGGTGTTGTAAACAACGGACGATCCCTTTCTTTACGCTGTATGGATGGTGGGAGTTGAAATTGAGGTACTCTCCCGTGAACGTCGGTTTACAGTATACTGATGTCGTGAACCCATACTCTGTTCGAGATATTAGAACATCCAGGAATGGGAGTGTTAGTACTTACAAGTGTACTGGATGAAAACCAGCTACAGAAACAGGCAGTTTTTACGCGTCGCTATTCAACCAGAGACAATTTGTGACACTGAAATCTTCGAAGGTTGATCAGAGAGCGAAAGAAAAAATATGAGAGTCTACAAACTGGGTGATAATTATTGAAATTGCAAACGAAATGCGTTGGAAAATCATGTTTTAAGATAATTCTAAAGAGAATCGAACCCAGATTAAATTAGATGAAATTCAGTAAGAATTCAGTAAGTCCTTCCCCACCAATAAGAAAGAGACCATTGAGGTATACGCGAATCAACCACCCAGAAGAAAAGAATCCCAATGTGTTGGTCATTATAATTTCAGCAACATTCGTCCAAAGAAAATTTTATATCCAAACATTAATTCAGTTTCCCTTGGATACAAGTGGTAAGAAAAAAAAAAAAAATTACTATTTTTAGTGACCATGGACACAAAAGCCGTGTGGTCTATTCAATTGTTAAAAAATGCATAAAACAGAGAAAAGATAAACTTTCGTTTTAAGGAGAATGGAAATAGATTTTTCTTTCTCCAATTCTTGAGCAGTCTGGTCGTTCGAAAGGATCTCAGCATGGCGCAAGCTGACTGATAAGGACTAATGACTCTAAAATCCCTTTTGCCTTTGCTGCACCATCTGGAAGTTGAATTTAACACTCCAACCCTAGGAGGGAGGGAGGGATACAGTAAAGTAAAAAGAGAGTAGGAGTTAAGGGGTAGTTTGATTCCTCTGACTACTCTCAAAAGGGAGCTGGACAACCTCAAATTTGGAAAACACTTGAGTAAATGTATTTTTATATATGGAAATTTAGAAAAAGTTGATCGCACTTGGACTTTCAAATCAAACAGCAGCAGAGCAGGTTCTTGTTCTGTATTTGTTTATTCTTTGATACGAGGTGATAATGAAAAATTCTTGGCCTGGCTCACTCTTTTTAAAATTGGTATTCTGATGTTTGGTTATTGAAATATTGATTTTTGAAGGGAATTCACCCTGAGAGCATATAATTCTTTGTCACAAATCCAGACAGGAATTACCATTCAAGAAATAGAGCATAAGAAAAAAAGATTAAGCTGTAGCTGACATTTGGAACTGAAATTATTCTGTTTTGTTTTTCAATGAATCCAGAACACTCCTAAAGTAATAGCTAACACTTATTTAAGGATTCCAAAATCATTTCAGATTTTCAAGAAATATAAATTGTCAGATTTGTTGTGAAAATAAAATCTGAGCCAGTTTCATATAACAGTTAATGACAATCAACATTAAAGTGAATTTCGGTTTATGAGCAGGCATCTAGACTGAAGGTATGCCACTTATGTTCAAGTACTTGTAAAATCAAATGCCAGAAAGAAAACTCTTATTTGGTGTTGACTGTTATAATTGATTTAAGTACAGCAATGGTTAACAAGATTGTCTTACAGACTATTCTGATAGTAGACTTCAATTCACCTTGTGCTCAATTACTACAACCTTGTGCCAGGCTCAGTTGGTTTTTGTGCCTGAGAGAGTTGTATATCTCCCACCGGTTCTAATGACCTGGATTCAAATCAGAGTTAAAAATTTTTTAGAATGCTGATTTTGAAGGCTGGCATGATATCCTGACACATCATAATCTTCCAGTTTAGTTTTGATTTGTAAATTAATCAAGAGAGAGAGAGAGAGAATTTTGTGGGTCAGTCTGAAATATCAAATTGGAATCCAAAAACCGAATGAAAATATTCTCAAGATCAGGAAATTGAAATTTATTAGATTTATCTCAATTGCAATTATACAACAATTATCTATTAAAATCAATTTTACTCTTCAATGCTAAAAAACATTGGGTGTGCCATCATATTGTAATGGTTAACAAGCTGGGATTGTAGACCTTTACTGCCACGTTAAAAGATACTCAGTATTTGGAACCTTGTGCCACTTAAAAAAAAAATAGTGGTAGGAAGTCCCATTTTAATTTTACAAAAAAGAAAATTCCGTAACTTTGCTCCGTCTGCTCAGACTACCCCCCCCAACCGAACTGTGGTTGTCTCTGGACATGCAAGTAACAACGAGAAGTTATTCCCAACTGACTTATCATTCTAAGTCCAGCCATTTACTCTGAAGGCATCAAGAGAATAAACAACCTTGACTTACTTCCCATGACCTGTATGTACATAAATGGAATCCTTGTATATTGTTCAAAGTCTTTTTTTTTAATACTTATGGCAACATTATTAATCACTAATCTGTTGTGCCTGCCAGTCAACTGAAGGATTTTTGTTTCGCAGATTATTGTTGAAACAAATTTATTTTTACCAAGTATTTAAAAAAGATTTTCCCAATATGGAATAATTTTATATACAATATGGAAAAGAGAAAAAAAAAAATTTCTAAAAAGGTTCTCATCCTCTGCAGACTTCATGGTATGGTTCTCCTGTTCGAAAATCCCTCCATGTTGGAGGTAAACCACCCTGTAGGTAATGACCACACTTCAGGCAGGGGGCAGAAAATAAAGTGCTGTACTTTTGTAGCCAAGTCTGAAAAGGAAAAACATTAAATAAATTTGAAAAAAAAGAGTAAGAAATGTTTGGAAGCAGTAATAAAAAAAAGAAAAAGAAAAAAAACATTATACACAGATTTATTTAAACTCGTGTCTTTATCATAGGTTTGTTATATCCTCTGACTTTAAAACTGAAGTTGGGCCTTTTTTTCCAAGTCACAGTGGTTTGGCAATAGCCTGAGCAAGAGACTTCTCCATCCATGCTGTGTTAAGATATGAAGATGGCTCCAGCTTAGGGTTGAAATGTTGCAAGACCACATATTACAGAAACCCAAAATTGATAGATTCCTAACAGTGTTCAAAGTCTTAGAATAATGAAGATGACTAGAAAAAAGTAAAAAAAAAAAGTAGTTTATTTTAGCTGTTGGCCACACAGATTCTTTTTCAAACTAGTGGTTTTCTTTCTCCAATTCATAATGCTTGACAGCGATACAAAGTAGTCTGATTTCGGAAATGCTTATTTACAATACTGATTATAATAAAACAAGAGTTGTCCATGTGTCCACTTGTTATTCTTTTTTTTTCAAAAGGTTACAATGGTGATCTGAAGGCCGATGTATTCATGGCTGCTACTATAACCTGCTCTCCCAGTCTCTCTGGAAATCTTGGCAGGAATGTGCAGAGGTATTATCTGTTCTGTATGTATTTCTTGCACCTTCGCCATCACCTATATCTTGATTATCATTCTTTGTAGAACTGCTCAAAGTGTGTATGGGCACATGTGTATATGGAACACAACTTGCCAGCTATCACCAAGGATATACTGGTAAGAGTCAACCAAAGTTGCCTTTGCTTTGAAAGCACATGACCAGTTTCCTACTTGATCGAATTCAGATAACCTAATTTCTTGAAACTACTCTTCCTATTGGTGAATATGTCTTTAAGAAAGGAAACCACATTACCCATTTGGTTGGGTGACACAGTCTCTGTAAAATCACTTCTCAGAAATTAATCTGGGCATTTCTACAGAAATTCACCACTCCAAGAAATAATCAAGTTTTAGCAAATTTGGATATTTGTGTCCACAGAAAAAAAAAAAAAAAAGGAAAAAGAAGTGTCACTCCTCAGCAATGTTTATTGTTTTAAAAAATGATGATTAGAATTGGAATAAAACCTAAACATCTGATGAAAGTGAATTTAGACATTTTCATTATTCTTGAGAACTGACAACAAAAATAACAAACACTAATGGGGGGGGGGAGGCACAAATACCAAGTTTACCCAATTTTTCTTTTTTTCAAAATTTTATTCATATTAATCTCTCAAGATTAGGAATATATATATTAATTTAAAGAAAAACAGACCACTTTAAGGCTCCATTGTAATAGTTTATTTCACCAGAGACTTTTAATTTTCCCTGGATCCTCAGACATCACTTTCAAAAGGTGAAACGAAAAATGAAATTAAAATTTACACTTTTGATGGGCAGTATTAAGCTTATATAAGTTGACATAGAAGGTAACGAGGAATGGTGTGAGAGACATGGTTGAGTTTAGAGAGGGAAGGGAGATTTATTTTTATATTTCTTTTTATTATAATACTTAAAATGAGGAAGGAGGGGGTAAGGATCAGATACTGACCTATTTAATCGGTCAACTCAACGGAAATGATATGGGGAAAAGAAAGGAAAAAAGGGGGAAGTAAAGCGAAAAGAGATGTACTTAGGGTTTTCGAAGGAAGAAGAGGGGTGGTATAGCTTTAGCAATTTAGATAAAAATAGATTTTAACATTTAATAGTAATTTAAATGTTTAAAAAAACATATATATATATATATATATATATTATATATTTTCAATTTCCTAAATTTTACAAGCCTGCGGGGGGGTGGGGGAATTGATTTTGTAAATTATAAACAGATCTGTTTTCAAATTATTTAAAAATCTATGTAAGTATTTATTTTAAACAATACAGGAAAAAATAAGATTATATGTTTCAAATAAAAATTTTAAAAGTTTAAATTTATGTTAACATGAAATTATTTGAAATTTTGTAAGTTAAATAAAAATATGCTTTATCATATGATATGAACATTTTTGGGGGGGCGGGGATTGTATAGTAGGAATCAATTTACAATGAATTTGCATAGCAAAATGAACACCCTATTAAAATTTAAAAGAAAATTTTTTGCCATATTTGTTATCTGGAGTGGTTAAAAATAAATTTAGAAAAAAATAAATAAATAAAAGTGATTATTCCTTGAAGAGGTATATTTCTGTAGAAACACCTTATTCTGTAATAAACTGTAGCAATCCAATGAATAAGTTTTTTTATATAAACAACTTCATCTGAAGAGATTTGTTGTTTTTGGCTGAGGAAGTAATGTTACTTACTATCATTTTCCCATCATTTGATGAGTGCAGTTTATGCAATAAAATATTAAATTATCTGTAGGTTCAATTTCTTTAAGCCTATTTGATTTTCTTTAGTTCTTTCTCCACAATTTATTCCAATATATCTGATATATATAATTTAATTCCAATACTTATTAAATGCCAACTTTGCCTCCATTACAGCTCCCCACCTCCTGATTCTATATAATAAAACTGACACTACATCACACAGTACATTTCTCAGAATTCCTAGCCAAACCAGTTATTCAATCCTGTAGGTAAGGGTGGATGTTATTCAGTTTTCATTTCACTGTCCATATTCAAAGATATCTTGCATTAATTATTGTATAGATGGGTGGTTTAACTGAAAAAACAATATTTTCGGTTCCATCTTCACATCATGAAACTACATCGAAATTTTTTACGAAACCAAAATTCATTCGGTTTAGTGCTATCACTACTGAGTGACCATATCCAAAGAAACACTACTGAAAAAGACTTTCAGATGTTAATAAAATTAAATTTTATCAACATTTAAAGTGTTGTAAGAGAAAAAGATTGAATAAAAATATGTTAAAAACATTTAATGGACTAGTTTTAGGAAATAAATGTGAAATTTATTTGTTTACAAAAGAAATGAAGAAGAAAAAAAAACGACACAATGTCTGAAAGCTACTTGTTTCAATTTTTAAAAAGATTAAATTTTTGAGGTAAAATTATGTCAACAACAAAATAGTGAGTAAAAATAAAAAAAACAATAGTTGCCAGTTTCATCTTAATGTTAAATTTTATGAAGTCAGATTTTTTATAAGGGTTTTCTAGTAAGCCAATAAACCAATCACGAAATAAAGTTGTTGTAAACAAGAAAAACGAATAAAGATTTTTTTTTTATAAGTAAATTTGTTTTTTTTTTTATCTAGGAAATGCACCTAAATTAGATATTAAGAATAATTAAAATAGTTCTTAATTTCACTTTTAAAATGTGTATATTTCCAGATATGCGAGTCTCTAGTGTAAAAGTAAAATTGTTTGTTTTCTACAAATAAAATCATGTTTCTATCTAGCGAATACACCTAAAATTAGATATTAAAAAATATAGTAACTTTTAATCTCAGTTTTAAAATGCATATATTTTCAAAGCTGCAGGTTATTTTTTTTAAACCAAAAGTAAAAATTATTCTTTCTTTAGTCACTTTTCGTGCCTTAATATAATAAAACACACTTATTTTTTATGGCAGGCCATAAGTCTAAGTAAAGAAAATACAAATTATTATTAGCATTTCTGGCTATAAACAGGAGAATTCTTTGCCTCTAAATAAAATAATTAATTGCTTGAAAACAAGTGTCAGTAGTTTCAATATTTTGAAAGTTCTTTTACCACACATTTATTACTATCATTTGCTTTTTCTTTTTTTCTTTTGCTTACTTTATAATTTTTGAAGGAATTTGCTTCCTCAGGTCAGAGAAGAAATGAAGATCTTCCTCGTTGTAATTTTGGTCACTTTGATTTTGCAAAACAAAATAACATGTAAAATTTAATCTAAAATAAAAAAAATCATTTCATATTTTCAGCTGGTTGAAGCAAAATACCGTTTTCTGTAAAAAAAATAATTCAATGAAAAAGCGCAGACAAAATACATATTTGGAAAGATTATTTCATTTTCTTTCCAGCCATATAAATATTTTTAAGATTGGTGAAGAAATACATGAGAATTTGCAAGTTGAACAGATTAAGTTGCAGATTTATCAATCTCAAACGAAACAGATATCAAATGGAAATGCTATCATTGTGCAAAAAAAAAAAAAAAAAAATACCAAATAAAAAACTGAATCGAAAACTGTGGCACGAAGGAAAAAAAAAAAAAAACGGAAACTGATACCAAAACATAAATTACCAAAGCAACCAACACTAAATTATTGTCTACTAATTTGTTATTTTTGGTCAAATTAATCTGTTAATAGTAATTAATCCCTTCAAAGATTTTGGATTTTGGTAGAAAAGAGAAAAAAAAAAAGGCTACTCACAAGAAATGACTTCACTGCAACATCAGGAATAACAGGTGAGTAAAAATGAAGCATGGCTGCACTTGCATGATCTGTCACCTGTCAAAGACAAAAGGAATCGGTGGCAGGTGGGGGTAAATGTCATTTCATAGTTAAGATCAATGAAATAAAAGTTCATTTTCCTTAGGAAAAAAAAAACAAAAACTTCCATTCTTTCAAAAACAACAACCATAACATACATTTTCTGTGGCAAAAGGTTACGGGAGAGGGGAGGAGGGATAATATTTCTTTATTATTCACATAGAATCCAGTTAACATTATAGACTATTTTCATTGCTAAAGAAAATTATAATTAAAAACGTTGAAGAAAAAAAATAAGTGGGTGCTACAGGAAGAAAAAGTAGACAAGTAAAAATAGATGAAATATTGAGAAGTATATTTAAATGATTTTTTTTCACTTTTGGAAATTATTAATAAATCAGTGGAAACAAAAAAACAACATTTATATAAAATGTAAACAGGTTTTAAACAGGGGAAAATGAAAGGTTGTTTAAGATCATTAAATGTAAAAAAAAAAAAAAAAAAAAAAAAAAAAACAAAAGAAATTCTATATATTTAAACCCAACTAATATGATTGCGTTGATAAAAAGAAGGGGGGGGGTAGGCCATACATATTGTGCAGAATGATTCCATTCTGCCATAAAAGGAATTCTAAATGAATCAAGTTTATTGAACAAATGTTCATTTTTATTAAATTAAAATTGTCAATCTTCACAGTAACTGAGGTTGTAATGGAAGCAACAACAAAAATAATAAAAAAATGACAAAAAAAAAAGAAATTCTTTGGAAAATTAAGAAATGAATGACAATTTTAGTGGAGACAACAAATTTGTTAATGACAATGAAATTCAATTGATTTGATATCAATAACAACAAATATGAATGATTTAAAAAAAATATGCCCAAAAATGGAGAAATTAAATTCTATAGAAGTGTGTAAAACAATGAGAGCCTTAGGTCTGTCTGCTGGTTGAGATGGTTGTGTATTTCTCTTCAAGGTAACAAAAGGAAGTAGCAGCTTTGCTCTCTAGTTTGACCTTCCAATCTTAGTCAAGAACAGAAATAAAAACCTATATAAAAAAAATTAATGCTTGAGATGAACTTTTACCATTTTTGCTTGATTCCCACCCTCCTTTTTTAGTGTGAAAAAGTGTCAATCAGAGATGTTGATTTTTATATATATATATATATATATATATGATAGATAGATAGATAGGTGCTTGGAAATGTGATCTGAGGAACTCGGAAAAAATGTCACTTTCCTGGAGAAATAAAATATAATCAATGGACCCTTAAGGGTGTCTGTTTTTTTAATTTAAAATTAATATTCACTTTGGTTTGACATTGAGCTCTCTGGATTACATCCTCCTTGGGATTATCCATACGGATTACCAAATATTTCTCATATATATATATATATATATATATATATATATATATATATATATATAGAGAGAGAGAGAGAGAGAGAGATATAAAAAGCAAACAAACTGACAGGCCATGAAAATGACAGAAATATCTATTCATGTCTATGGCATGAAATATCACATCAGGGTCATGTTGTACATGACTAACTTTGTAATGATAATTTGCAAGGATGATGTCAATGTGTAGACACTTTTAGGTACCCCTCCCCACCTCATCAATGACCAAACCATATAAAAAGACCAGTTCTATTGGACTGCAGGTTCTTATGACTATATCACATTCAAATTTGACCATTTTGGAATACCAGGTGCTGTAAGCTTGGAAAAATAGTTCAGAATTTTTGATCAGGGAGTGCAGAGTTCCAATTCCAGTTAGGTTCATTATATTCACTTATGCACAAATACTCTTGGGGTTAATTAGTAAGACTTGTATCACTGAATCATCATCATCATCATCTCAAAAAATAAATAAATAATTCTTATAATCTAAAAATGTTTTCTGGCTTTGAATATCCTGGTTGATAAACCATAAAAAAATGAATCAATCAATTGACTGCAGATGCAAGTGGCAGATTGTTGTGGTAGAAACATTCATATTTACATCTCTCAAATTGTTAAAAATATTCAAACCCACTATTTCAAATAAGGACTGTAAGAAAAAAATACAAAATAGAGAACTTTGTTTTTTTATTTTTTTATATAAATTATTCATTGATTTTGGCAGTGTTGTGAAGAAAGCGTTAACATTAATCACGGTTTTAATTTTATTTTCAGTAATAGAGAAAGTCAGAAATAAAAGACTATGTCAAGTCCAAATAAAGAATTTAGTTATCATTCTTGGAAAGAAAACATTTTTATTTCTGAAACTTACAAAAGATTTTATTTATTTCTAAAACTTTATCTGCTTCTCCTCAAACAAGAATACAAGTTTTTGTGTTTCTTTCCATTAACCTAAAAGAAATTTTCCTAATGAAAATAGGATTTGAAAAATTATTTTACTTCTCATTTATAAAGAAAGAGGTGGAGTGAAATGTAGTCAAATTATACTTACCATCTGAAATACTTGATATTTTGATTTTGACCAAACATTAATCTAAAAGTAAAAATAAGAAAAAAAAAGTTTAATATCTTCTTTAAAATTTGAATAGACATCAATGGCAATTTGTCTTTCTGACCACCAAAACAAAAATCACATTTTTACATGTTTAAAAGAATTTAGAAGTTTCAAGTGATCATTACTTTATTATAAAAGTAAGTAAACTGGCTGAAAACAGGCAAATATTTTACTCCCTCTTCCACCAGGTAAGCTTAATAATTTCCAGGTATTTCAATGAACTAATATTTTTATCCAAACTGTTTTCAGCGCAGCCATCTAAAGCTTTACACTTTATCTGTTAAAGACTTAGGTGGATGGGTATACGATCAAGAGTTTGGTATCTGACTATGAGATTCTAGCAAGTGTACCATGAATAGGCTTTTAGAAGTAGACTGGAAAACGGTTTACATATAATGAGTAGATCATTATGAACAGTAAGGCAGGGATTTTATCAACATCATATACAAGATTCTATGACACTGATCTAGAGCCTTATTAATAGAAAGAACTTTTGAATATTGAATAAGCCTAATAAAAAAAAAAAAAATAACTGTCCAAATAACTCCCAAAATAATTTCACAGAAGTTCCTTGTTGTTCAAGACGATCGAGATAAAGTGAACAACTGATAAAAGTGCTTGCTTTCTGACTTTCTTGTTTCAAGAGTAACAAATGATTATTTTAGCCCCTTTTCCAACAATTATTTTTGGAAAAAATATTTCATTTTCAGACAAATTTTTTAATATAGTCAATAAGAAACTGAAGTACCAAAGTGGTGGCTAACACTTCTACCAGACGTAGGACTTGACAACTGAACTCGTTTCAAGCTCAGAAGGGCATAAAGAGAATCAAGATTGACATAAACACGTCTGTAGCTGGTTTTTAAAAGTTATGTTTTCAATGTGTTTATTCATCTGTGAATGAAAAGGACAATTTCAGTAAAAATGTATCTACATGTCTACAACAGGGAAGGGGTTAAGAAAATTCATGATCATGAGACCAGTAAAATAAATTGGTTAAAATGCTTGCTGCAAATCTTTCTTGCTGCAGTTCAAATTCTGAATTAGGCAGTTGCATTCACTTATGCACAAATACCTTGAGAAAGGTAGGAATTCATCTTCTCCCTCAGATATGGGTTAAACAACAGAGTAGACTGGTTACCACCCAAGGCTACAAAGCTCAGCCTAAGAGAAAGAAAGCCAAATACAAAACCCGCTCCACTATCTTTTCCAAGAAGTCATGTAATTCACAGGTAATAAATAAAAAGAATCTGTGAAGAATCATAATTGCTTATAAGCCCTGAATGGACATTATAACAAAAAAAAAAAAAGAAATCTTACCTTTCCTTCATCAGTTAAAAAATTCTCTGTGCAACCCTTAACCCGAACCCATTCAATAATGAGACCTCGAAGGATGATTAACACCGTCATTGCTCGGCCAACTGTAACCTGCAAAATAACAAGAGTCCGTAAGGAGTTATCTTTCCTTGGTTTTGGAACTAAAACGTTTTCATATTTTCTGATTTATCCCAACTAATGAGTCAAAGAAAACTTTTCATATTTCACCAAAACTGAGTATGACAATTACAATATTAGTAGCAAAACAAAAAAAAAAAAAAAAAAAATCAGCAAAAGTATGAATACTGAATTTATTTATGTAATGGTCACTTTGTAAAAAGAATTATCCAAAATATTTTATGTAATTAACATCCATGTTTCAGTTAAATTAGATCTCAATAAATCTTTCTGAATCAAAAAAGGCATTTATACTGTAAAAAGGAAAAAGTGGAAAGAAATTAAATTAAATTTGTTTCTGATATTTATCCACTTATAGATAATGACCAGAATTGAAAAAAAAATAAGAAAAAAAAAACCTCTTGAAACTGCAATACAAGGTATTGAAATTTTTAGCAACATTTCAAGTTTTTATTTTAGATTTAAAGAAAAATAATTATTGAAGTTAAAAAAAAAAAGTCATAAAATAAATTAAAAAGCATATTTTCTGCATTTATATTCTTTCAATATACTTAAAATGTTGTTTAATGTAATAGCATTTTAATTTTTTTCACTTACCTGTACGACACCACAATTTCCAAGAGGTCGCACGATTGAAAAGGACATGTCAGCAAAGGAACGATCCCAGTTAGTCAGGCACATATCAAGATGGCTGGAAATGAAAAGCAAAAATTTGGTAAATTTACCTGAAATTTTTGCTGGGATGTGGAATCAAAAGAAAACTTGATTTGATAACAAAATATTTTAATCAATTTTGGATCAAAGGAGAAAAAAGCCCCCAACTGTTTGCATTTTATGAAATTGTTATTTCTTGATACATTAATAACAAAATGTGTCAAATTTGATAACATTTTTTTTGTATAAAGTCCTAAAGAATGAAACACGTCACACAAAAACTTTTTTCTATTTTGTCATATATATATATATATATATATTGATGCATGTTTCATTAAATAATATAGACAAGTTTGTCTATTTTAAGTAAATTCCTTCGTTGCTTGGAAATCATTCATGCCACAAAAACAGACTATCGTTATTGGTTTGTCTGTGTATTGTTTAATATATTGAAATGTAATTGTCATCTTTAATAATGGCTTATGTAAGCTGAAAGCTTAAATAAGATTAAAAAATATGTATCAATATTGTGATTTTCTTTCAGCTTTCAATGATAATGTTATTAAGCTTATCAGATGATATGAAAAGAATTTACATAATGAAACATGCATCAATGAAAAAATGATGCCTAAATACACAAAAAATATATATATATATATATATATATATATATATATATATATATATATATATATATATATATAAAGAGGTAAAATGAGAACAAATGGAGTGTGATTCCACTGTACGTAACATTTAATTTAAAAGATGGCTCAATACATAATAGAGCTAAATATTATTTATTTCAGGATATTAAAACTTTAAAATCGCTATATAATGGCAATTATGCTTTGACACCATAAATGTGTGTCTTCAGGCAATGTTAAACTACTGGTGAGGCTTGTCAGTTGTTTATGGGTTTATGGTGTTGAAACATAATTGTAATTATGTAGCGAGTTTTAACATGTTTTAATATCCTAAAAAAATAAATATAATATATATATATATATATATATATATATATATATATATATATATATATATATATATATACACACACACAGACACACACACACCCATATATGAGGGTAAGTCAAAATTATTCACACTTCTTTAGCCATAACATATCTGTAGAATTGCCTTCTGCTAATGCATGCTTATAGCTGGTACTATCGATTGTGGCAATACAATCAAAGTTTCAGCTTCATGCCAGTTTTCTTGCTGCTATTACAGTGTAAAGATGGCCACTCCCGCTAGCAGTGTGCACAAAAGAGGAGTGATCAGAATCTGCAGAGAACATGCTACCTCATCGATGATAACTCGCCATTAACATCTCGTGAGCTTGCTGAATCTTCTTGTCAGTGATGGGGGGTGGGGGGTGCATCCCATTCCTTCTTCATGCATCACACTTGTCCAGCCACATTTAAACTTCTCAACCCACTCATACACACTCCTACACAGTAGAGGTGTTGTCGTTGTATTGTGTTAAAAGCCGCTGATGAATTTCAGCTTCCAATCAGAGAAATCGGATCACCACTCTTTGTTCCTCCTTCGTGCGCACTGCTAGCAGAGCGGCCATGTTTACACTGTAAGAAAACTGACATGATCAAAATAGTACCAACTATAAGCATACATAAGTAGAAAAGCAGTGTGACAAATCATTCTATGTGATTCTTTTTTTTTCTTTTTCTAATCTGTTATCTGCCTCTTTGTTGTTATTAGTCCAACATTTCAGTTGATATATGCTGTATCAAATTTTAAGAATTCCTTCATATTCTTAAAGAAATTAAAAGGATTATGTGACTGAATGACCTCGTGTTAGTCCTGATAACAGATGAGATTAGAATCTGTCCATCTGGTAGTTGATCACCAGAATGTGTTAATATTAATAAATGAACATGACTCGGTTAATAGTACACTATAGCTAACCAATGATTCTTGTTTTCATTCTTAAGATGACAAGTCAGACTTTTGATGAGAATCCATCAATCCTATAATGTAAATTTACCCCACCCCACCAACCGATGGATGATGAATATATACTAGTTGAAATTGTGTGATAAAAACAACAAAGAATTATAAAGCTCTGAAGAGGAGGCTCAGAGAAACTCACTTTGCAGAAACTGTGTGGCTGGTGGGACTTTGTCGTCGGAGTCTTTTGGCACTGGCACCAATATAAACCGACCGATGAAGAGGACTCTGACTTAAAATGTAGAAGGCTTGATTGGAAAAGTCCAAAGTCTGCAATGAGAAAAAAAAAAGATAAAAATGTCATCCCCATTAACACTGAAATTGGTGATAGAGTGTCAAGAATCACTGTTGTAGAAACCGAGGGACAACAAAAAGAGAGACACACAATGAAAAGAGGAACACTGTTGTAGAAACCAGGTGGACAATGAAAAGAGAATTGGTTGTTGCTGGGAAGATGAAACCTAATTGGCACTTTACCAAACTTATTATGGCTCTACTGTCAGTGATATTGACATAGTTAGAAAGAGTAGCTGTTTGTTATCATCTTTGGTTATTGAAATGTTTTGAAAGCAATAAAAGCAAACTGTTCCTGCTGTTTGGGAATTTTGTTTGTACTTTACTCTTCTCAAATTGAATGGTATGTTAGAAAAAGGTCAGGGTTTATGTCAGCTTCAAAGTCTCAGTGACTGCTGTGTTATACACCCCTGTGTCCACACACACACACACACACTCTTAAAAACAGTATTTTGATTTGCTTTTTTTTTTCTTTTAAAATTCTTTCAAAACCAAGAAAGCCCCAAGCAAGGCAATAAAGCTACTAAGATGCAAAGGGTTACCGAATGTGAAAGACTATAAGAAAAAGAAAAATGTTAATAAAATGAACAGGAATTAAGACAGAAGATAACAGTTGACAGTGCATTTAAATTTTTGAAGGTCAAAGTTGACTGGAAAAAAAACCCCCCAAAAAACCAAGCTACCAATCTAGTATTACGTTTAAATTCTTTAAGATCAGCTCACTTACCAATTCCACAATAGGGACAATTATGTTTATTTTCAAAAAAAAAAAAAAAAAAAATCTCCACTTTGCCTTATTTTTTTGTTTATTGATTCTACCAATGAAGAGAATGAGCAGCAATTATGGCCTATTTTGCTAAGCCAACACAGCCAGAATTGATCCAAATCAAATATTTGGTTATGTTGGTCACTTTGAGAGAGAGAGAGAAAAAAAACTACTGGATGCTATTACATTGTTTGATTTATTACCAAAAATGTATTTTTCTTTAAAAAAACAAAGAAATCAAATGGTTGATGAAATGTGGGAGGCAACAGATTGTAGGGGCAAGGGAAATACCAAACCCAAACTAATTGCACCAAAAGTCAGTGTTCATTCAAATAAAGTAACACACTGGGATTATGTTCAGATTAGAAAAGTGTTGTCTAATTTGAGTTTCTTCCTGAAAAGGAAACAATTGATTTGAACAAGGACAGTTTCAAATTTGACCAAAATTGAAAACAGCAATAAATGAAAAATGTTCAGAATTAATTCAGAGAAAGGAATGGAATATGCCAGACATAGGCAAAACGTTTTTCAAGCAGTGGGCTGCATGATCTATGGCTCATCACAAGGCGGAGGGCTGTATGACTAAAAAGATTCAAGGTAATTTTTCCTAGTAGGTACACCTGCTATTTTCACTACAGAAGACCATATGCAATGCATATACCTTAGAAATGGTAAGAAAGTTTTATTTTTAAAAAAGATTTTTTATGATTAAAAAAATTCAAATTTTGGTCTAATATTATCACTGATGATAACATTGTGATTATCACATGTTACTGTGTATGAATTATTTCTAATTTGTTCATTTGAAAATGAATATATTTCTTATTTAGAGAAAAATTCTCATGAATATTTCCTGTTTCAAAAGTAAAATATATTTGCACGTATGACCTTCCTTAGTGAAAAATCGCCAATGGTCTAAAATGATAAACGCGTTACTTTCACCAAAAGTTTACAAAATTTCAGAAGCATTTTACTTAATCATTGTTTATGGATGTGGTTATGTATGAGAGAGTGTGCGAGTGAACAAGTAAGAACAAAAGAAAAGAAAATTTTAAGAAATGTTATTTTGTTTATGAATTTAAGTGTGCCATTAGGAAAGACCAGATGAGCCGCAATTTGCCTATTGACTGGAATATGCCATAATAGCTTTTGCTGTTTTGTTTTGTTTTTAGACTTCTTTTAATGGAAAAACATCAACTCCCAGATGAAAGTTATGGAGAACCTTTCTTCATTGAGAATAATAATACATCCTTGGAAGATGTACTGTTTGCCAAGAATGGCTGAATATAGAAAAAGTTCATACCCTTGCTACAAAAGAAGAGACGAGTGGTTGTGGGGCTTGTTGGAAGCATAACAATAAAGAGCATTTAACCAAATGAAAAAGATTTTTCTCTGGAGGTTGTAATAACAATATTTGGATATTTTCTCTCAAATGCTCAGATTCCATAACTGACTTACTAATAATATCAGGTTTTATATATATATATATATATATATATATATATATATATATATATATATATATATACACACACACACATTGATAAAATCTGAATGGAATCCTAAACTTGCAAAAAAGTAGAACAACAAAATGCTAATTGTTGCTCAATAAAAGAAAAAAATTATTTAAAAATTTATTTTCACATCATAAATTAAACTTATTCAGTTTATATCCAAAACTGACTTTTGGATATAAAATGATCAAAACTTTAGACAATGTTTTATGATAAGCAAAATTTAAATAAAATCATTACCCTGGAGTTATGATTAACAGATTAGGCTGAAGCTCAATCATAAATATTAAGGTGAGTTTGATGTTTACTGGCTGCTCCGCATTTGTAGCCTTGTGCCAGATTAAGCTTAGTACATAAAAATGAATGCATCAATGCATTTCAAAGATTGCAATAACTGTTTATATTGGCAATTTTATGGAATATACAATTTTTTTTACCCCAGTTTTCAAGTAGAGTCAAGTGATTTCTAAGAATTTATGCAATCTATTTCTCAGGATATTTTAATTTTTTTTACTCAACTGCAAATTTCAATGCTTGGGATTAAAAAATGAAAATTGATAATTAAAAAGAATTAAGTTAACTTAATTAAAAATTGGAGATAAAATGAAATCAACATTAAAGAAATTAAATTTTGAGAATCAATGCCACTTAAATGGGACACAAAAATACTTACTTTGCTTGTCCATTTGTGAGTTTGTAACAATTGGGAATACAAAGGGGTTTTGTCTACAACTGGATCAAGACTCAAATTAAAACTGTTTGTGGATCTGTCGATTGGATTTAATAGATTTCCAAATTTTTCCAATGCACTGAAAAAAAATTAAAAAGATTAAAAAAAAAAAAAACACAATAAAAAAACAATTGCTTCTCTTTCACAAGTTGCAACAATGGTAAGGTGGGGAGGAGTGGAATCTTTTATAAAATTCAACCCAGAAAATTTAAAAAGCAGAAAAATACTTAAATTTTTTTCCATTGATTTGGAAAATAACATTCTACAACTTTGGAGGTGAAAACAAAAATGTCTGATGTAACTTTTTTTTTTTTAGAATTCTATAAAGAAAGCAAAGTTTCTGTATAGTGAGGAGAGGAAAGATCTTTTTTTCTAAAACAAAACTGAAATGATTAAAGAAGTAAAACATTCAACATTATATTGTCACTGTTATGAACATTCATTGACTGATCCATTCTTCAACTCTCATCTGATGGAATCCATGAGAATAAAAACAATAATACGCCTTTCCTAGAACCAATTTATTTTGTTGCAAGACAGATTCAAGATTTCAATTTTTATGATACAAGTCTATTTAAAAAATTTGACATTATTTAAAAGAATAGGTATAAAATAAATCTCCTTAAAAGCAGTATTATATGCTTTTTACTAGCTACCTCCACTGATTCACTAAAATTTACTATACCATGATGAAAAAATGCCCCAAACTTAATAAAAACAAAGTATTATCCTCAAAATCTTTGTTATTATTAAGAGGAAAGACTAAAGGATTTTTTGATTATTAAATTATATTTTTTAAACCATTTTTAGAACATTAAAATTTTGGTTAAGAATCTTGTTTTGCTTGCATCAGTATGGGGGTGGGGAACCAATGATTAGTATAAGAAATTTTAGCTTCTTTTATGAAAAACTGATTGACTTTGAAATTTTTTACAAAAATCAAATAATTGTTGGGTTTTAATGAAATTGTTAAGACTTATTCACAAATAAATTATTTTAGAAATGTTATTTTTTTAGTAAATCTTGAATATATATAATATATATATATATATATATATATATATATATATATATTTTTTTTTTTACATCTGTTATTGCCAACCAAATTAATTTCTTCAAACAATGCTATCATGATTAGCTTTAATTCGCATATATGACTTTTAAAGATTTATTTATCAAAATTAAATTGCCCAGTTTATGACTGTTGCTTATGTTGAACTAAAAATTAAAAACTTATTTAGGTATGTTCAATACTTCACAAAAAAAATAAAACATACCCTGATGAAAAAAGTACCCAAACTTGATTAAACAATTTTTTTTATCATCTAAATGAAATGTTTATGTTATTATTAAGAGGAAAGACTAAAATATTTTAAACATTTTTTTAATCCTTTCTAGCATGTCTGAAATTTTAGTTAAAAAAATCTTGTTTTTTTTTGAGTCAGCAAAATTTTAAAATCGATCATATTCGTTATTTTACACAAGTTTGTAAACAAAAGTGAAATTCTTTGTTTAAAAAAAAACTTATAAAATTCAATTATACTTTTTTTTAAAAGTTATTTTAGGAAAATTAGAAATTTAAAGTTTATATTAATAATATAATTTGAAACAAACATTACTTAATTTTTTAGTAAAAAAAAATTAGTTGGAAATAGCCATGTCTAACTGCGATTGGTTTTATTGGTTTTTGAGAGAATGTAGTTAAACAATAACATTTATCTTTCAGTGCGTGGATGTTGGAAGTTGATGCCTTTTTCTTTTTATGTGCTGTGTCCTTTTAGGATGTAGGTGACTATGGCTCTCCACTTCCCTCTATCCGTTGCAGCTCTTCACAATTTCCATCCCTCTGCCACCTACCCCCCCTAGACCACGTTCTGTCATCCACTTGCTTAATCCCGTCAGGTATGTCATATGTTGTTTTACCTTGACTCTCTTTCCCTCTATTTGACCTGTGAGTATCAGATTCTCCAGGCCTTTCCTCATTAAATGTCCCAGAAACCTCTTCCTGATGTTAAGATAAGCCTCCTCCTTGTTTGCATCCTCTCTAAGACCTCATTGTTGCTCACACGCTCACATGTACATAATTGTCAAAATTTTAAAAATGACAGAATGAATGTTTACATCTGTATTCAACATATTCTTTTAAATTAAAAGAATATGTTGAATAAAGATGTAAACATTCTATTATTTGATATTTAATTTTGACAATAAAGAAAATTATTATTTTTTTGAAAATAGAATATTTCAAAAGTCACTTTTGTAGCATCAATTACACACACAAAGCGAACAAAAAACTAAGGCTATCCGAAAGTCTTGTCACCCCGACATAATTTTATGGCTGACATGAGATCCTACACAAAAATGATGGTGTTACTGTTCATATAGACCTTCTCGATGTGTAACAGCGTCAATGAAAGTGAATAAACTGAATCCAGTCCATGTGCTTTGTATTACTTCTTGTTCTATTGTTCTTATTACATTTTTTTATTTTTTGATAGAGGTGACAAGACTTTCGGACCACCCTGTATTATCAACATTCAATATGATGGGCTGTGTATGTGTATGTGTTTATACCAGAGTATGTTGCCCATCATATGACTATATATATATATATATATATAGTTAGCTAACAATGTGAAAAAAAATGAAACGCTATTCTTGATGGGACCCAGAGGCCGGTATCAGGGAAAAATAAAAAAAACCTACTTAAAATCATTGTTAATGACGAGTAAAGACTTCTGCAGCTCACTGAGACACTGCTTCTCGTTTCCAAGTGAATTATGAAATCCATCAGATAGACCGGAATAAGTTTTAGAGATACTCGCGCGAATTTTTTGCGTTAATTTTACCGCTTCTGCGATATTTTCCAAGTTATCGGCGTCGGCCATATTGTCTACAATTCAGCGTCGAGCGCCCTCTTTCGGCAGCCAATTATTCAAGGGCAAATAACTCCACTATTTTCCCTTCATTACTTCTGTTGCTGCTGCTGTTGTTGGTTTCATGCTTGGTCGCGCGGCACTTGATGCCAACAAAATGGACCGAAGACGCTTCGGAATGAAAGCAAAAAAAATAGCTGCCCCTTCTTGTTTTAAAATATTTGCCAAAAATCAGGGAATAATCATTCAAACGAAACTTTCTGTACATATTCTTTAATGAATGAATTGTTTACTGAATAGGTTATTTTTTAAAAGACTTTGTTGGGCGTCGTGTATGTTTCCTGATCTCCCCTCAGCTCGCTTTTCGATATTTCGTGGGGAATTTTAATTGGGCATAGAGGCGGGGGTAGAAGAGTCCATTTTTTTACTGTTAAAGAAAAATCCCTGAATATATTATTTCAGTGAAAAAAGATTATGTAATAATATATTTTGTTGTGGGAACATACGAAAATTCGTCCCGCATCTTAACCAAAACTAATTCAATAAAAGTTTTAAAAAATACATAGTGCGATTTTGAAATTAATCCTGTTGCTGTTCGTCACAAGAGTTTTTTTTTTTTATTTATAAAAGACATGTTTGAAGATTCCAAAAAATGTAATGTTTAATAATGCAATTTTCAAGTATGGATCGTTTTAAAAGAATTTTTATATTTTATTTTTTCCTTTTAGCAACGTTTAGATTATTTTTGGTATGGATATACAAAAAGGAAATAATTCTGAAACCTCGCTTTGACTGACTACTCTCTTTGTTCTTTTAAGTTTTTATTATTTTAAAAACAATTTTTTTGTCTTATCTTTTCCTGTATAATTTGTCTCCCTCGTCACCAAGAAAACTTTCAGAATACTTTACTTTACTGTAATTTTTCTCAAATTTACTTTTAATATGCCAGGTCAGGACTGACAATATTGCAGATTTTGGGTTTCAAGAATCTCTATATACATAGCAAAAGCACCAGACAAGATGCATGGACGAATTGTCGACTTATAAAATGTGTAAAACAGACTCTGTCGGCATGACACAATGAACAAACTTAACAGCAGATTTAACGACTGATTCATCATAATCTTTCCATATCTGTTTATATCTCTGAGATGAGTTATTATGATTACTTGCCTTATTTACATTATTCGGACTGTCATCCTCAGCTTCATTTCTATATTCACAACGTTTTGGCTGTTGTACGCCCCGACATTCTTCAGGTGATTGGAAATAAAGTGTTCGGTTCGAAAATCCAATCACCTGAAGAAGGATGGAGAATACAACGGCCGAAACGTTGTGAATATGGCAATGAAGATGAGGATAACAGTTCAATTGTAAATAATGCGTAATATTTCCACTTCATGTAAGCGGAAAACGTTTGCCTGAGAAAGCGCAATGAGTCAGATCTAACCTCTCCTAGAGATTAGGTCTAACCTTCCCTAGAGATTAGGTCTAACCTTTCCTAGAGGTTAGCATCAGCCTGGCCGATGGAAGGCAAAAAAAAAAAATGTTCTTTAAAACGATTTAAAACGCGCAGTTTAGTTTTGGGGGCATTAAAATTAAGAAGATTTCGATTTTAAAATTAACAAGATATAGGGCCCTTCAGTTTATATACGTGGCGTGCTAACACGAAATGCTGTTCATAAATCTGAAGCGAGGAATTTTATTTCTATATAAAGATTTCCCTTATTCTTATTTTCTTCAGAAAGAAGATTATTCAACTAAATAAAAAGTAAAAACCGATTTCATTTCTCGCCTGAGAAATTTTCAGGATAAAAAAGAAATTCTAAACTTTATTGCTAAGAAAGCCCAGCAATGCGTTGAAGATAAAGTAACAGTAGCAAGCTACAAAGATAAAAATAGCAAAATAAATATATGATGTTCTAAATTTAATTTAGTTTGGCTGTAAGACCCGTTGACGATCGTATTCACTACATTGGGAAAGAGAATCTCTATGGTTTGGAATCCATATTTATCTGACATAACTCTGGATATTAAATGTAATAGTTACCTCCCTTGAATTGTAAATTAACTTTTCCTCTTTCTGTTTTCTTTGTTTCTCTCTTTCTCTTTGCGCGCGCGCGCACACACACACACACACACACACACACACACACACACACACACACACACACACACACACACGGGTGCGCAATTGATTGCGACTCTGTTAAAGCAGACTGTGGGCATAACAGAATTTAGCTGCAGCTGACTGAAAATGAAAGTGAGTGTGACTTGGGAGATGTTTACTCAAAGACATAACAGCCTACACTCTCTACTCTTATCGCTTTCATTGTAGCATACAGGTGACGAGACATCGTGTCAAGATATCTGGTGATGTAACAGAGAACAGAGACGACACATGCACAGACACACACACACATTTGTAAGTAAAAATAGAGCATTGACTTAAATAAATTGTATCCATAAAAATAACATATAAACAGAATATATATATATATATTATAAATTAATTGATTTAAAATATGTTTTTTTTTCGCTACACAGTTCTAACCATGTTTCAAAAATGGAATTTGTGATTAAATTAAAGACATTGGTTCCATTTCATCCTCAAGCGAATTTTCTTGAGGATGAAATGGAACTAATGTCTTTAATTTAATCACAAAATTAAATTCGTGGCTTTTAGCTTCCATTTTTGAAACATGGTTAGAACTGTAGCGAAGCGAAAAAACATATTTTAAATCAATTAATTATAATATTAATGCTCTGTAAATTTACATTGAGAACTATTTTTGTAAAAATGAAAATATCTATAAGAACACCGGATTATATATCTTGCTGTTTTTTTATATATATATATATATATATATATATATATATATATATATATGTGTGTGTGTGTGTGTGTGTGTGTGTGTGTGTGTGTGTGTGTGTGTGTGTGTGTAAATATAGGAAACTGAAATGATAGACTAAATTCTCGAGAGAAAGATTGTCTAGCACAACACAGTAAACCAACTTTCCTAGCAGCTGACCAAGCAGTAGATTCAATAGAATCTTTCCACTTCATGTCAGCTGAGAACGTTAGCCCGAGAAAGTGCAACGAATCACTCACTCTCCTGGAGGTTAGTATCAGCCATGTTGATGGAAGGCAGAAAGGAGAGCAGTTTCGTTTTGGAGGTATTAAAATTAACAAGCCATCCTTTGCCCCAGTTAACAACAGACTGAAGGTGATTTTTTACATCAGCCGCCAATTTCATTTACTATCGAGGCAAGAGTAAATGGGTGTGTCATCAACATATATACTTAATTGAGAGCTGATGCCATCGGGAAGGGTGTTAATGAAAATTAAAAACAAAGTTGGACCAAGGATAGATCCCTGGGGGTGGGGGAACACACCTGCATCAGTACAAAAGGATCTAGAAGAGTGGCCGTTCAGGATAATTTTTATTTTATGATTTGATAAAACTGGATCAGAACAAAAATTTGTCCGGAGACATTGTAACTTTTCAACTTGTGAGGAAGTTTTGTATGCCAAACTGTCAAAGGCTTTCGGGATGTTCAATGCAACAGCCCAAGCTTTACTATTCTTTTTTTTAAGCGTTTCACCCCAAGCAAGGCGGGAAGCCACTAGCACGCAAGGGGTTACAGAGAATTGGAGTGAGACCAAATAGGAGTGATAGAGGAAAGGATGAAGAGAAGGATAGGGGATAGATCAAGGCATCTGGAGAAGTCGATTGACATTACATTTGAATAGTTGCAAATTATAGCTATCAGGAAAACAAGAAAAGGGGAGGGAGTTCCACAGGCAAGAAGTGCGAGACATGAAGCTATTGTAGAAGAGACGGCTACATTTAACAGTTTCGACAGTGAAAGGGTGAGGGCGAGATGCCAGCCTAGTAGAACGCTTAAATTCATGAAATCTGGGAATCAGCGAAAGCAGCTCATCGGAGCAGTTACCGTGAAAGTATCTGTAAAAAAGACAGAGGGAGGTGACGGCACGTCTGTGAGAGAGCGACTACAGACGAGATGCCAGATCAGGGCCAATTACATTGCATATTCGTCTCTGGATTTTATCAAGGACCTTGAGACAAACAGAAGGGACTCCAGGTCATATATGGCAGCAAAACTCCATGCAAGGGCGAATGGTTGATTTGTAGATTTGAAGGATCGACTCCGGCGAGAAAAATTTCCTGGCGCGGCACAGGGAGCCAACTAGAGTTTGATAGACTCTTTAAGAAATTATCGTCAGTACATCAGCAGTTGACGTGGAGAAAAGAAAGCCATATTGCTTGTCTGAAAGAAGGTCCTGCGATGTGAGATGCTTACCGTATACACTCGCGGATAGGTCGCCCCACCGGATAGGTCGCACCCCCTACTTTATGGCTTAATAATTGATGATTTACTGTTGACTCAGGTCACACTATAATCTGGGGAGTTACAAAGCCCTTTTTAAACGTAAGAATTATCAGATATCTATCTTAACAATTAACTATTAAAATTATAAACTATAAATTTAGCTACCAACTATATCGCTGCGCAATGCAAAATGGTGCAAACGCTTTGGGTGGTAGATTCATGCGCTTTGTTATTTGTAAATAACACTTAAGAACGCTTTTTAATGTTATATGAAACAACCATTAAAGAAAATTATCTCATAAAGAATATATTTCATTTCTTTAAGTCATATTTTCCAATGTATTTTTGACACTATATATATATTGCAGAATGTAGGACTATTTTTCTTTGTCAATAAACATCTACATTTGGTTCCTTAACTTATGCATGTTCAGGGTTTCTATATCAATCTAGTGCAAGGGCCCTGACCGAACGGTGACTGATGGATCAATGAATATTTTATAATTTTATTTATTTTTTGTGATGGCTATGGGAATCTCGTAGCATGAGGTAAGTTTAAAGCAGTGTGTCAGTATGACAGATAAATTGTTTCTATACAGAGAAAAACCACAGCTTTAGTGTTTATGGGTATCATTTCAAATTTCTCAGGGACATATGTAGAGGGTTTATCTATTGTGTTGAAAAACTCTCAAATTTGTCCAGAATCCAAATTACTCGCTCCTTTCTTGAACGCGAACTGTTTTATGAAATGTGACGTCTTCGACGATGTTACTCCGCTGACTGGACCAACCTTGTTTCTGAGGTTTGAACAGCGTCAATACAGACGTTTCCTCAACTGCCCCGACCACAAGTCAGTCTATCGAAGAAGCTATGGAAGATATTTTTTTTCACCCCAAGCAAGGTGATAATACCACTAAGACGCAAAGGGACTACTGAGAGTGAAAGAGAATGTCTAGATTTTAGAAGGAATCGGAAAACCCGATCCTAAACAGGGAACAAAGAATAAACCTCTACTCCTGTCCAAAAGACCGGGGACGGGGAGTGTGAATCGGGCGGTAGGTGAACATATCTACTCCAATACAAGACAGAGAGAGAGGCAGGGAGAGGGAGAAAGTGATAGGAGAAGAGAGGGAGAAAAAGAGAGAGAGGGAGAAAGAGAGAGAGAGAAACAGAGAAGGAGAGAGAGAAACAGAGAGGGGGAGGGGAGAGAGAGGGAGAGAGGGAGAAAGAGAGAGGGGAGAGAGAGGGAGAAAGAGAGAGAGAACGAGAGAGAGAGAGGGGGAGAGAGGGGGAGAAAGAGAGAGAGAGGTGGAGAGAGAGGGAGAAAAAGAGAGAGAGGGAGAAAGAGAGAGCGAAAGAGAGGGAGAGGGAGACACAGAGAGAGAGAGAATGGGAGAGAGAGAGAGGGAGAAAGAGAGAGAGGGAGAGAGAGAGAAGGAGAGAGAGAGAAACAGAGAGGGAGAAAGAGAGAGAATTAATAGATAAAATTTCAGACTTCAAACGGAGAAGTACGTCAGAAGTGCAGCATTGAAGTAGTCTTTAGAAGGAACCAGAAACCCAATCTTAAACAGGGAACGAAGAATAAACCTATACTCCTGTTCAAAAGACCGAGGAGAAGTGTGAACCTTACAAGATGTCCCTGATGTGGTTCCTATATCGGTTTCCAAATCCTGCTATAGCACCCCCTCCATTACACTCAATAGAGATAGGGCTGGAGGAATCCGCCGTCACCATAAAGGAACAGGACAATCTTTTTTGCCTCTGTCCAATATGTGTTCTTGTGGGCACCACGCATGCATGGGGGTAGGTACATAGGTAGGTAGTTACACCAAACAACAGTCGCTAATGCGAGTAAAACAACCACTAAGTAGATATTTTGTTTTTGAATAAAAATTCTTATCTACACCTCCACAAAAATGTATAAACAATGAAACATTTTAAAATAGATATAGACTTGGCTTAAACATAAGAGCTTTTTGCAAAAGCCACACGCCCTCTGGAAACATCTGCCCACTAGGCAAAGAATTTTAATGAAAAACAACGCTGGACAAGAGTGGTCAGCGTCCGTATCCTGGAGAGTGAAGCGAGGAAAGATTCACAAAGAAGGAATCTCGTGTATGCTCTCTTTTTTTTTTTTTTTTTATCTTTTTTTCTCACTGACCCGATATTGACGGCTGTTGACGAGCGAAACCGGAGGCACCTGCTTAATGACGTCATAGGCGGACAGGAAACAACACTACTTAAAGACTCGTGAGTAGCATGTGCCATAAATGGTTTTCTGGTTTCGCTCAGCCCGAAGTCAAATTACTCGTCAGCAATCATAGATTTTACAAGCATGAAAATAACTTACCAGTCACTCTAATAAATGGGATTTATTGAAAGAAACCAGGACGTAAAAATAAGAGAGAAAAAAAGGAGACATATGCATAAAAAAAGAAGCTTGGCACAAGGCCAAGTGAAAAGGAATAGATGGTTGGGTGATTTGGATGCATTAATTTTCTAACTTGGAATAACCTTCTAACTTTGAAAATCAGCGTTGAAATCGTTCTATTTATCTGGACTTGATCCCTGGCCATTGGCTCGAGTGTGAAATATGAAATTACCACAAGATCTTTATTTTCTGGCCAAAGTATTTTTGAAGATTTACTGACAGTGACAATAAACATTATCTTCAGGAGGTCTGAAGATTGCGTTCAATCACGAAACAGGTTGTCAACACTCAATGTTGGCCTTACTGTCCACTCTTGTATTTGCATACACCCGATCACGGATACTGAGCACTTTTACCCCAAAATATTGCATAATTTAAAATCATATTTTTTATCATATATATATATATATATATATATATATATATGAAGAAATATAGTCTTAAGGTGTGCTATTTTTATGGGATAACGTGCTCAATATCAGAAGATAGAGCGTGTGTAAATATAAAGTGAACATAAAGTCAACATATAGGCGACAGTCTGTTTCATGCTATAAACAGATTCGCATATAGCATGACTTTATGTCGCCTTTTATATATATATATATATATATATATATATATATATATATATATATATATATATATATATATATGGATAGATACAAAAGGAAAACTTAACCGATGCAATTCGTCCTCTGAGGGACTTTATCAACGCAAATGCGAAGATAAAAGTTTATTTGTGACGCGTTTCATCCATTAGGTCTTTATCAGAGTAAAGAACCAATTCGTTTTGTGTGTGTGCTTTTTTTTAAAAAAAATGTGTTTTTGTGTTCATATATCTTTTGCTTAAACTTCTTGAGGTTTCTCCATTATATTCTGGCATTTGCAGTTGATAGAGTAAATTCCTCCTTCAAATTTTATTTATTTATTTATTTTTTGCATTAAGTCTTTTATTATTTTAGACGTAGTTGTGACAAATTTTACGTTGAGTTTAGATAAATTCTTTTCGGTTGTAACCGTGATAGAGTTAATGGGTAGAGTAATATAATTTTTGCAGTTGGTAGAATATATATATATATATATATATATATATATATATATATTAGCTACAGAGGAAGCGTCTGGTTAGCAAAAACAATATATATAAAACGTGTGTTTCCGAGTTAAGATGGCTGAGGATTCGACAGAATCATAAATATATAAAAATTATCTTGACATATCTCGGTAGCGATCCGGTGTCGTTGTAAAATTTTTCAGATGAAACAGAATTACTGGTAAAATGTTCAAAATTGTCTCTCTCTCTCTCTCTCTCTCTCTCTCTCTCTATATATATATATATATATATATATATATATATATATATATATATATATATATATATAACAGTGAACGTTGAAGTCTAAACATGAATGTTCACTTTTATATTTATACGCTCTATCTGATATTGACCACTTTATCCCATAAATATAGCACACCATAAAACAATATATATATATATATATATATATATATATATATATATATATATATATATATATATATATATATATGTATATAAATATATATATATAAATATTTATATACATATATATATATGTATATAAATATTTATATATATTTGCATATATATCTGTATATAAATATTTCCAGTCATTGAACAATGTGTATATAAATTTATATACACATTACAGAAACATTGTGCAGTCATTGACCAATGTGTATATAAATTTATATAGTCATTGCTCAAACATTTTTCACTCATTGACCCATGTCTATATAAATCTATATACATATTGCTCAGAAATTGTTTTGTCATTGATCAATGTGTATATAAATTTATATAGGCATTGCTCAAAAATTGTCCAGTCACTGACCAATGTGCATATAAATTTATATACGCATTGCTCAGACATTATCCAGTCATTGACCAGTGTGTATATAAATTTATATACACATTACTCAAACATTTTTCACACACTGACCAATGTGTATATAAATTTATATACGCATTGCTCAGACATTGTCCAGTCATTGACCAGTGTATATACATATTTGCGCGAGAAACCAAAAGAAAAATGGTTAGAAATATCGTAAAAATATAAACGAAAAAATGAAGAAAAAAAAGAACATTTTTAGTCTTTAACCAACCCTGGATAAATGAGAGTTTGCTGCCCAAATACTCCCAATATGAAACTGTCTACAAGACATAATTAAAATCTCGTCTTCTAGCCTAATTCGCTAGTGCAGTGATTTCGACTCTTATTACGTTAAATGTAGTCTTCTATAAGACTAAGTTATATTTGGTGAATTTGCTTTATTTGACTCCTTAGTTGCTATTCAAACGAAACGAGATTATCGCAAGACATGGACAGTAGAATTAGAACAATCATTAATGAATTCAGTCTGAAATTCCTTTAAGGTTTACCCGAATCAATAAGCGCCAAAAAGAAGCTGGAGGGAACATTATAATAAACAACAAAAATGTGGACATTGTTGTGTAAATAAAAATTCAGCTCTTTTCTTTGTATTCAGGTCTGCAGAGTTTACTGACCCAACAGGACAGGGTCCTTATTTTTTCAGATTTCAGGCTCAAATGTCTCACATTAATGGTGTTCAGTGACAGGCAACAATTAAGCATAAAAAATAATCCTAGATCCGATTGGACAGACAGGAATTTATCAGAACGCCCCAATGATAGGAAATTTAATTTCTGTTATCATAAAGACCATTTTTGTTTAGATTGATTTTCTTCAATATTGACGGGAACTAATTTACCGCCCAGGACATGAACATCATCGAAACTTGAAAAAAAAATCCCAGATCGTATAAATCAGTGTTTTGTCTTAGCATCAGTGGATATAAAGAGGAGACTTGTGGCAATAGATCTGGTTCTACAGAAGCATACTTGAGATTACCATGGACGGAGCATGCGAGCAAAGAGGAAGTTTTAAGAAAAATAGAAACAAAATATACATTTATACTTGTAATCAGAAAGAAACAGACACATGATAAGAAAAGACGGCTTGGAGAATTCGACACTCTCATGGCATATTGAAATTAAGACGAGCAGAAGTAAATAGCGAGTGGCCTATTTGTGCAAATCGATGACAGAACAGGGAGTGAGAATAATATTAAGAAGATACACTTTTTTTAGAGCTACGAAGGATAGGAAGTAGTGGGGAGCCATGCTCATCCCCGTACTGAAGGATCACAGCACACTGAAGAAGTCGGCGAAAACACAATTACACCAAAATGTATTTTAAAAAGTATATCTGCAAGTAAACATAATGCAAACCACGAGTTTTATGTTGTTTTTTTAATCACTGAAGATGTTTTATGTATCTATTGTAACCATAAAGACAGTTAATATGTCTGGTACATATAATGAGGAAAGAGTACTTGGATAATTTGACACTCACAGGCCATATTGAAGGTAAGAAGAGCACATGGAAACATTGAGTAACTTGCTTAACGATCTTCTGTAAATGGATGGCAGAACAGGGACCGGTGGAGTTGGGGTAGTATATGGAACAAACATTGCTTAAAGCAGAGGTTCCCAAACGGTACGGTGTGCCTCATAAGTCCGACGGGAGAGGATAGCCGGTGAGGCGGAACAGGATAGCAGGTGAGGCGGACGAGGATAGCAGGTGAGGCGGAAGAGGATAGCCGGTGAGGCGGAAGAGGATAGAAGGTGAGGCGGAAGAGGATAGCAGGTGAGGCGGAAGAGGATAGCAGGTGAGGCGGAATGATTGAAAGACAAAGATTTAGGAACAGTTTCAAAAAGTTCATATGTCAAAAATAAATAAAATTTCAAAATTTAAAATATTATTGTGGATTACTTGTAATTGAATTCCCGAGTCCTTTATAAATAGTTATAAATAATTATAGGTCGATTTTATCATTGGGGTATTTTTGCACTATATCACGAATTAAGAAAGTAGTAACCAGGGTCCGCAAATTGGAAGAGAGAGTTATCAATGATAATGTTCTGACGTCGAATGCGCGGTTATTTCCCTTTAACCCTATCCCCGTACCTTCTTTCTTGTAGGGATGCCTGCACCTTTTCACCGGGACTTCCGAAAATGCAGCCCAGAGAAAAAGTTTGGGGACCACTGGCTCAAATAGGAAAATAGATAGGAATTTGTGGAGAGTCATGATTGCCCACAACTTGAAAGGACATGACACCTGAAGAAGAAGAAGAAGAAGAAGAAGAAGAAGAAGAAGAAGAACCGATGATTTTCACAGTGATTTGCTTTGGCCGATTTTTTAGCGTGAAGCTAGTGGGAAGGGCAAATATTAAACATTTCTTCTTCAGAACTGGTTTTCTCGCTATGTTGAAAGATACACTCGGCTTCATTTGAAATTCCTTTTTAAATTCTGCCGACAACTTTTTCTTCTAAAATCTATTTTAAAAAAGAGATTGACTTTGATGAGAGTTATCAAAGTCAAAGATCAATATTAAAGAAAGCGGATGTTTTTTTTTCAAAAGTCGAACTTTAGAAAGAAAAGAATTAAACATAAAAATTAAACTTTAACAAAGTCAAGATTTGACTTCAAAGGACGAAAATGAAACAGTTGTTTTTACAGTCTGTAAAAATGTTTTATTACTACAGTATCAAGTGCATTAACAAATATATAATATAAACTTGTGAATCTATTCTTAATCCAAAATTCAAAGTAAAAAATGACACATCAAAGAATATATTTAAACTAAAATTTATTTTGCATATTTTGAATCTACGATAAGAAATAGTTTTGACAAGAATTACAAAAAAAAATTGTGCTCAAATGTTTTAAGCATATAATTGTTTTATCCTACAATTCATCCAAAGCAAGT